CTGCTAAAATCTATGGCTGAATACGACTAATGGCTGGAGAAAAGTCAACGAATAATGAGCAAACAATGGAGCGAGCTTCCACTAGTTGCTCAGGAACCATTTGTTAAAGCTTCTCCCCCTCTGCTCCTCCTGCAGGCACATTTAAAATACTCCAATTCATCCTGGACAGCTTTCAATAGAGCATTGTAACCAGATTTACAGCTGACTTCATCAGAGATGTTTTAGGGTTCCAATCTTCTGTATTACAGCAAGAACTGAGTGCTTCTAAAGATGCAGAACAAGTTCCAGCTGTAGAGACCAAATAAAAATAAAACTGAAAGGATCTGTGGTTTGAAAATTCACTAATTCTGACATCAATCACCATCAGGAACAGGACTCCTCTGTCTTTAACGGTAAATATATAGAATTTTACAACCTGCAGACATGCTGATGGTCACAAAATGTTTGGAAAGAAAATGAACGTCCTTAACAACAGACCTTAGAACAGAAAAACAAACACTGAACGTGTGCTGCTTTTGTTCAAAGACAGTAATAAAGTCATAGTGTAATTAAGTGACATAAAAATAATAAAATGGAAGAAAAATAGTCTCAGAATTTTATCTTTTTAAGACATTCAATTTAAACCACTGAATTTTTAACCTGTACTATTATGGATTTGATTTTTTTAACTTAAAATTCACCACCAAAAAAACTGCTTGAAAGAATTCCACTACTTTTTTTACTGCAGAAATTAAAATATGAAAAAAAATCAGGTGCATAAATTCACAGCTGCTAAATTTTAACAGCAGAAATTCACCTAAAAGATTTATGCAAAAATCCAGACTTGAAAATGTTTGGACCTTTTGAAGACTGAAGTCCAAGGAATCTGCACTAGATTAATTCAAACTGCTTTTAGCGACTCAAATGACACTCATTTGTTCACATGACTCACCAATATGAGTTAGCGGAGCATGCAGTAGCTGCCATCAGATTCAACTTGGATATTGCAGGGTGTGTTTTTTTTGTTTTTTTTGCTGCATTACCTGTTAGCTGTTCAAAACTGAAGCAATAGAAACAGCTATGGTGGTGAAGAAGAAGAACGAACCGTGGAGAAAACTGCATTTAATTTAACTCTGGATGGATTATTAAAGAGGACTGTGTCTGCAGCCTGCATGAGAGAGGCATGTTGGGTAGTGAAAAACCTAGCCCTGAGCCTAATTAGGAGTTTTAAGTGTTGTGTAGTCTTGCTGCGTGCAGACAGATACATTTGGATTGATTTAGGAGTTTACTACCCAAAGACAAGGGTGTCAGCCAAAAAACTCACCACCTCCATCAACCCCATCAGACCCTTTTACATTGAATTTATAACACTGAATTTTGAACATATGCAATTATGGATATGATATTTTTTTTATTAAAATTCACCACCAAAAAAAATAAACAATTGTAAATATTCCACTGCATAAATATAGTTAGTCAGTATAACACTGGCCTGTTTTTCTTAGAGCTCCTTCACTATTTATTTAAAAAGTTCTTGTTTATGTAGCCTAATGCAGAAACTTACTCTACACTGTTTTAAAGTCATGTAGCTATTAAATCTGAAGTGTATTAACAATTATTGGTGTTTCAACAATTGAAATGTCTGCAGATGTTAAAGCAGTGAACATTCTAACGCATATATGCAGTAAAAATGTATGTACAATTTTGCATAGCCTATTAAAGGTATAGTGGAGGATTGTTTTGGGATTTTTTTTAAAAGACCAACCCTTTTCACTTAAAAAATGCACATGCACAACCCTGTCCCCGTTCCCAAGAGGGAACCCCTATAAAACGTGTGCGAGAGTATGCAGGAGCCCATTTCTCTTTGTGCACGCTCTGTTTAAAAGTTTGCTTGCATCGCTCATAGAAGCTTAAATCCAAAACAAGATTTGCCATTTTTCCACTATGTCAAACTCACCTCCAGTAAGTGAAAATGGGGACCAGTGTGTAGGACGGCCTTACATAAACATATCACCAGAATGATTGACAATTAGGAGGACAACTTATTTAGATGATCCACCTGGAAAAAGAGAATCCTCCACTATACCTTTAACTATATTAATTCTGTTAATGCATGTATAAAAGCCTAAATGATTAAATCTGTTATGCACCTAAATATACTGATTACAGAACAAAAAGTTCTGCTCTGGAACATCCAAGGAGAAGAGCAAGAAGGTTCAGTTCAGATAATTAAAGTAAATTATTGTTCTGCTGATCATTGCTGTATTTTAAGGGGTTTCTACGTTTCTGGGCACCTAATTTCAATTTATGGCTAATTAACCAGCTTAACTAACCTGCAACCATCTAAATAAGATGTGTTAAATACAGGGTTCCATTCACTCCAGTCCTGGAGGGCCAGTGTCCTTCACCTTTTAGATGCATCACTGCCTTGACACACATTGGTCAAAGTCGTTAATAAGCAGGCCTACGGAGAAACTGACTGCATGTGTGGAAGTGTGTGGAAGCAGAAACATGAAATAAAGACACCTGATGTTGAGGACTGACTGTCTTTTTGCAATGATCTAAAACAGGCAGTGTGCCTTGGAGAGCAGGTTAAAAACATTCTTATAATGTATTAAAAATAATTTTCCTTTAAAGAAAGGAAAAAATCCACATTATGGAGTACCTTAAAGTACAAAAGACAGAATACTGGATCACAGAGAGCAGTTATTTTGAGCCAAGCTGAGACCAGTGAGAAGACTGGATACTGCTTTGGAAGAAAAGCAGCCCAAAGACGAATGATTGGAGTCATATTTCCTGACTGATCTGTAAATGAGTTAGTTAAATATTTAGATAGATGGATTTGTGCGGCCGCTGCTATAATGCAGACGCTACACACCCCTATCCTCACCGATGGTCATGAAATCTGGATCATGACCCAAAGAAGGAGAATCTGGATCCAAGTGGCTGAAATGAACTTCTCTGCAGGGTGGCTGGGCTCTCCCTTACAGAGAGGGTGAGGAGCTCAGTCATCCAGGAGAGGCTCAGAGTAGAGCTGCTTCTCCTCCACATCCAGAGGAGTTAGTTGCGGTGGCTCAGACATCTTTTTCTGATGCCCCCTGGCGCCTCCCGCAGGATATGTTCCAGGTACGTTCCACCAGGAGGAGACCCAGGGGACGACCCAGGACTCTGTGGAGGGACTATGTCTCTCTGGTGGCCTAGAAGGGCCTCTGGCTTCTCCCAGCAGAGCTGGAGGAGGTGTCTGATGGGAGTGAAGTCTGTGAGTCTTTTTTTTTTTTTTTTTTTTTTTATTTATTTATATATATATATATATATATATATATATATA